ATGGTATTGCCTTTTGGACTTAAGCAAGCACCATCAATATTCCAGAGGAAAATAGATTCAGTCTTTGGGGACTTATCTAACTTTTGTATAGTCTATGTTGATGATGTTCTGGTTTTTAGTAAAACCAAGGAAGAACATATAAATCATCTTAGACTGGTAATCAAAAGGTTCCTTGATAATGGAATGATTCTATCTGAAAGAAAGATAGAATGGTTTAAGAACAAGGTGAAGTTCTTAGGCGTAAAGATAGGTGAAGAAGGTATTCAACTCCAAGATCATATCTCGAAGAAGTTGCTGGATTTTCCCGATGCGATGGAAGATAAACACATGTTACAGCAATTTCTTGAATTAGCCAATTACATGCGCGAGTATGTTCCTAATCTCGCTAATGTAATCAATGACTTGATGCTTAAGGTTAGTGACAAAGTATCCTGGATTTGGATACTTGAAGACACTAATTGTGTTAAGCGGACCAAGGCCTTGACAAAGCAGTTAAAACCTTTAAAACTCCCAGAGGATGAGGATAAACTCATTATAGAAAGTGATGCATCTCACTTGTATTGGGGAGGAGTGCTTAAGGCTAAGGGAACTGATAATATTGAACGGATTGTTCGATATGCATCAGGAAAATTCTCTCCTACTGAAATAAACTATCCTGTCCATGAGAAGGAAGTTTTAGCAGCGAAAGAACGTATTGACCGATTTCGATTGTTCGTAATCAATCAGGAATTTACTTTAAGGACATATTCCAAATATCTAAAAACCTTTATGAAATTGTCTTTGAAGGATGACAAATCTAGATTAACCAGATGGACAATTTGGTTTGCAGATTATAAAATCAAGTTTGAATATATTTCTGGTAAATCTAACTTTGTTGCTGACTTTTTGTCCAAACATTTCTCAGAAGAGTTACAGGATAATGGCGGACAAGAAGGAAACTGGAAGTCACTTCTCATGCTCCAAGTGTAAACAACGAGGACACTTGAGGAGGAATTGTCCTTTGAAGGTTACTTTGACTTCAAAGGTTACTGCTGAAAAGGAGAAAACTGCGGATAAGCATGAGGCTTTTTCTTCTAAGTAGGTTACTGCGGCAAAGCAGGTTAAAGAAGGAAAGAATCGGGATTATGATTCTGATACTTCGGAAAGAAGAGACCCAAAATTTCAACGATTGAAGGGTGAAACTTCTACAAAGGAAAATACTTCAGCAAAGGAGGTTACTCCTAAGAAGGAAAAGACTCAGAAGAAAGCAATTGTTTGATGGTCTTGTAAACAGGAAGGACATGAACGGGCTAATTGTCCACTACTAAAGAAAAAATTTTCTGAGGAATCTTTATCAGGTGTTGTAAGCTTGGTGACTCCACACACTCCACAAAAGAAGCAGTTAATTGATGCGGATATTTGTGAGAGGTTTAGCTTTCTAGAAGGCTTAAGGTTAACTTCAGCTAGTCAAACACTTTGGGAGGCTCTGGAAACCCAAATTAGGCTCGCTATGGTGACAGGCCAAGGGGAAGTACAGTTGCAGAGATGTTTAGAGAAGCTAGCAAGGAGGTTAGCATGGCTGGAAGCTGATAAACTGTTCTATGAGGACGAGGAGTTTAGAGGAACTTCACAACTCTATGAGGCAGGAATTCAAAAACTTGAGGTAATGAGGGAATGTCATTTGTTTGACATGGTAAAACTCAAACTCGAGAATTTGAATGAATTAATAGTGAAATTGGGAAAAACTGACATGACAGATTTGGTTCAAGGATTATCAGTTTATCCTAATAGTGCTATGGAATTATTCATTCCATGGAAAATCTTTAGAAAGGGTTTCTGTGGAGATCTTTTGAGTAAAGGATCGATCGATGCAATGCAAATTGACGTACAGGAAGCAATGGTGGACCCGAATATGCCAGACGTGGTCAAGCAAACACTCTGTGTATTGAATTGGAAGGTCGACACATTCACTTGCATGATTAATTCCTCATTGCAAGAGAACTACAATGTTTAGCCTGTACAGATATGGGAATTTCTTGTAGGAGAACCATGGTATCGCATTATGTTAAATAGTGAGGTAAAAATGGGTTCTTATGCACTAGAAGAAATTCAGAAGAAAAAAGACGAGGATTGGACTAGGTTACACATTGCAAAAATGTTACTGGTAAAGTCCAAACTGAATGAGCTTATTAAAGCAAATGCTACTGTCTATATCCATAATGGGATAGTGGTTGTTTTACCAGACAGGTATGCAGTGATCCAGGATACTCTTTTCCAACACAATCAGGCCCAGTTGAGAACATTTCTAGAAGGGTTCGATTTAGCCCATCTATCACAGCAAGCCTTGATGGAAGGAACAATTGATCTTCTAAGGATGGTCTTAGCCCACGACCAGGAAGTCCAACAAGAAGATGACACTCTGAAGGATTTCATAGATCTGATTGAAGTGGATAACTTCAAGGGTTGATAAAAATCCAGGGGGATGGAAATTTGGATAGCCAGAATCGTCCAACATGTATTACGCTGACGTGTACCAAACAGCGGGGAATATACGTGGACATCCAAGATTTTGCCTACGAAATTCGATGATCCAGATTTAAAGAAGCATTGGATGTTGACAGCTATAGTAAATATGTGTTATTTAGTCGTTTGTAATATATGTTTTGTAAGACACATGTTAGTCAAAATTGTAATTACTTTTTCTTTTGCTAAGTCAAGTCTTATTTAAGACTTTTGTACATTGTTTAAAGCTTTGTAAGCTTTTGTACATTAGCTTAGATTTTTGTAAGTTTTGTTTTGTTTGCTTTTACAGATTCAATTTCAATTGAAGTCCGAAACTTCTCTATATAACGAGAAGTGTACGTACATTTTATTCAAGAGAAAATTAATAATATTTTCAGTTTGTGAAAAGTTCTCTCAATCTCTTGTTTACTTTTAAATCGTACACTCGAGACAAGGAAAAATGTTTATTCAAGACGATTGATATCTAGGTATGAATTGATATGTTAAACTGAATCTATGTATTTTCTCTCCAATTAATTAACTAGGTTGTTTAGTAATTAATTGTAATAATATTTGTTATACTGGATAGAACAAATATTACGTGGGTGTAAATGGTATCAGAACTTTGGAAATCATTGGAGAGGCCAATCCTAAATACGGTTGCGGATGGAGGTCAAAGTATGATCACGGATGTGGTTGAGAACGTGGTTGTCAGGAATATGAGACAAAAAAGAAACTCTTGTTTTTAATACATGACTAATTTTCAATGCATTTCCAACTTTATCCCTTTATCTAACCGATTAAGCTAATGACAATTACTTCTGGGAGGAAAATGTCACTATATTATAATGTTTGGACTTGTAACTTTTGGGTTTAACTATTTCTTACATTAATCGTGAATGAGTGTTTGTGCTTTAAAGCCTGGTAAATTAAGGCTGGGATAAAACTGAAATTTCGCAGAAGGGTAAGGGTAAAAAATAAATCAAACTTTCTTGCGCAAGTGTAAAAGAAAACCAAGATGTATTGAATTAAGGTACATTAAATATGACATTATTTGTGGGCTCTACAGGCGTGCCAGAAATTGTCGGAGATGCTTTATAGTTCATTCCTAAAGCCTACAGAAATAAGATAAACCTCAAATACAAACATGCCAGGTCTTCCCACGTCCATAACACTTGAAAGCGTGTACTCTTATGGTCTTACTGACCATTGAAATTGCTTAATTCTTACAATTTACAGAAGTAGTGTTTTTCTCTTAATTTCGGAGCAGAGGAGCTGCTAAGTTCAATGGCGTCTTTATCATTTGTCCATCAATGGCGATACGACGCATTTTTAAGTTTTAGAGGTGAGGACACTCGAACAAACTTTACCGATCATCTATATTATGCTTTAATTCAGAAAGGAATTTTTACGTTTAGAGATGATGAAAAACTTGAGAGGGGAAAAGAAATTTCTTCAGCTCTCATCACGGCTATCGAAGAGTCGAGGTTTGCCATCACAATATTATCAAAAAACTATGCTACTTCTACATGGTGTTTGGATGAACTTGCCAAGATTGTTGACTGCATGGAGGATAAGGGGCAAACAGCTTTTCCAATTTTTTACGACGTACATCCATCAGATGTAAGGAAACAGAGGGGAGATTTCAAGAAAGCTTTTGATATGAAGAAGAGAATCAGGAGAAGGTGCAAAGTTGGAGATCAGCTCTCAAACGAGTTGCCAGTATTTCTGGATACCATTTGCAGGAGAGGTACTGATTATTCTCCTTATAGATTGTGGCTTTCTTAGCTTCCAATGCGCATATCTAGCAATAAATACCCTGCATAATTAAATAGTTAACAATAATTTACTTTTTCCGATAATTTGAAAATATCAGTACTAAAAGTCGAAATGTTTTTCATGGAAATTTTATATATACTTTGGTAAGGCAGTATTGATTATTAACATCCCCATAAAATTTCTATTTCGAATGCAATTCTCATATTTTAAACATCTTTCAAAAGTCATATCCCAAATTGAGTAATTATAACTTGTAGCATGTTTTGACCAGTATAACATATCTGTTGTTTTTAAATTCTTTTAGAAAAAAAAAAAGTCCGTGTACCATATTCATGTTCCTTTTCAAAAAACAATTTAGTACATTATAGCTGATTGTCAAATTATTTTTACTTGCTTTGTTTATTGCTCTTCTTTGTAGGCATGAAACAGAATTTATCCAAGATATTGTTGAAGACCTATCGAGAAAACTTGATCAAGAATTTCCATCATATATTACACGAGATCTTGTTGGTATGGAGTCTCGAGTGGAGAAAATGATTGCATACATAAAACCAGGATTGGACGATGTTCGCTTCATTGGCATCTGTGGAACGGGAGGGATAGGTAAAACTACAATAGCTGAAGTTGTATATGAAATGCTTTCAAGAGACTATGATTGTAGATGCTTTCTTCGCATTATTAGACAAGTCAATGACAAAGAAGGTCTGAAACCTTTGCAGCAAAAACTTCTACATTCACTCATGCATGAAAGAAATTTACATGTGGATGATGTTTCTCATGGAATCAACTTGATTAGAAGACGTCTCTACCGGAAAAAGGTTTTTCTTGTTCTTGATGATGTGGATCAATTAAAACAATTGAAGAGTTTAGCTTGGGAGAGAGAATGGTTTGGTTCTGGGAGTCGAATCATCATTACAACCAGAAATAAACATTTGCTATCCCATCTAACTGAAAACATATATGATGTTAATGGACTGACTTTCCATGAATCTCTTCGGCTGTTTCATTTGAATGCCTTTAAAAACTCACAACCCACAAATGATCTTCTTGAGCTCTCGCGACAGGTGGTGAATTACACGAACGGACTTCCATTAGCTATTGTAGTTTTGGGATCCCATTTGTGTGGTAGAAGTGGTGTTGAGGTATGGAAGAGTACCTTGGATAGACTACAACAATTTCCAAATAGAGATATTTTGGAATCACTCAGAATAAGTTGTGATGTACTAGAGGATGTGAACAAGAAAATATTCTTAGATATAGCATGTTTCTTCAAAGGAGAGGAAAACTATCAAGTTATTGAGATACTAAATAGTTGCAATTTTTATGCAAATATTGGAATAGAAGAACTGGTTGACAAATCTTTGATAACTATTACTTCAGAAAACTGATTATGGATGCATCAGTTATTAGTTTTTTCTTTCTTGTTTATCAGGAAACAGAAGCAATTGAAGGTATAATGGTTGATGTAACTCACTCGAGAGATATGCGCGAACAAGGAATCATGGGCCTGCATGGTAAATCTTTTTCAGCCATGACCAATTTAAGGTTACTTAGCATCAGTAATGTTCACCTTTCCGAGAACGTCGAATATCTCTCAAGTGAGTTACGTTTTTTCGAATGGAATGGATACCTTTTAAAGTTCTTGCCCTTATGTTTCCACCTGGAGAATCTCTTTGAACTAATTATGTGCAACAGCTGCATTGAATATCTTTCGGAGGGCATGAAGGTATTTTTTCTTTATTCATTATTACTTTTATTACAACGTACGTCAAGTCCTTGCAAGCGTATTTTCTTAACTCTATTCTGTTTCTTACAGTCCTTTTTGAAGTTGAAAACCATTAATCTCAGTCACTCCTGCAACCTGATAACAACTCCAGACTTTACTGGGGTTCCAAATCTTGAGACGCTAGATCTTGAAGGCTGTACGAAATTGCATGAGGTTCACCCATCTGTTGCAGTTCTCACAAAGCTAACTGTATTTGTCTTGAAGAATTGTAGAAATCTTTTGAGTTTTCCAAGCGATATCCATGGTTTGAAGTCTCTCAAGATTCTTAATCTCTGTGGCTGCTTAAAATTAGACAAGCTGCCTCAAAACATAGGGGTAGCTAAATGTTTGGAAGAACTAGATATGAGTAGGACGGCAATAAGACAAGTACCATCCTCCATAGTACAATTGAAAAAGCTGGAAAAACTCTCTCTTCATGGATGTAACGGACAACGACCCCAAACCTGGTTCACTTTCTTCTTGTCATTGTTGTTACCGAACAAAAATCCAGATTCCATGTGTTCGTTGTTGCCACCTCTCTCAGGTTTAATTACTCTCAAAATTTTAGATCTTAGTGACTGTAATCTTTTGCATGGAGCGATCCCCAATGATATTGGCTCCTTATGCTCGTTAGAAGAACTAAATTTAAGCGGAAACAACTTTGATACCTTACCTCCAAGCATCAATCAACTTATGAAACTTGAAATTCTTTGGTTGGAAAGATGCAAGAAGCTTCAGTCATTGCCAGAGCTTCCACCACAAATAGTTGTTCTTGGAGCACAGGATTGTACTTCACTTGAAAGACTATCGCCACCAGAACAAAGCACTTCCCGAGGAATTGAACTGTACTTTTATAATTGCTTCAAACTGGTTGAGAATTACGGCAGCGACTTGACAGTTATTGTTGAAGATTGGTGCTGTGCTGGAAGTAAGATTTGCTGTAAGTTGAAGCTGTTTTGCTGCTGTGGATGGACGTGCATGGTGGTGTTCTGAAGTTCAGTAGCTTAAGTCCTTCTGTATATTTTAGTGTTAATTTTGAATTAGTTGACTCAGCTTATTTTGTAATGAAGTTGTTTGAAGTTGTTAGAAGTGAGTGGTCTAGCTGAGATTAAGTGAAAGTTCTGACAGTAGTTGGAACATTGAACAACAGCATGTTATATTCAGTTTTCTGTCTAATGAAAAGTAGTCCAGTTTTTATTCATTATCTCTCTTTTCTTTGGACAACCGGCATTTACAAAGACACTAACATGGTATCAGAGCTCCATTAACCAACCATCATCTAACAAATTCACTCAAAAAACTCATTCAAAATCACCATCAAACTTCGACCTTCTGCAAGAACAAATTTTCCAGAAAACTGTAACCAGTTTCAGCATGGCTACTCAATCAGCTTCTCTCTCACCTCCAGTGTTCAATGGAGACCAGTATCACATATGGGCTGTTAGAATGAAAGCCTACCTAAGAGGACAAGGGCTGTGGCAGTCTGTGGAAGAGGAGAAACAACCACCGCAACTTGGTCCAAACCCAACCTTGAATCAAATGAGGATGTATGAGGAGGAAATGTCCAAAGCTCCAAGAGCTCTTTCTCACATACATTCTGCAGTAACAGACCTTGTATTTACAAGGATAATGGCATGTGAAACTACAAAGAAAGCTTGGGATAGATTGAGAGAGGAGTTCATGGGAAGTGATACAACCCGTAACATGCAAGTCATGAACCTGCGTAGGGAGTTTGAAATGCTGAGAATGCAGGAGGTAGAGAAGGTTAAAGAGTATGGAGATAGACTCATGAGTGTGGTGAACAAAATCAGATTATTGGGAGTTGAGATGAGTGACAAGATGATAGTTGAGAAAGTGTTAGTCAGCCTTCCGGAAAGATTTGAGTCCAAGATATCATCCTTAGAAGATTCAAAGTATCTCTCCCAAATCAGCCTCACTGAATTGGTTCATGCCCTGCAGGCCCAAGAACAAAGAAGGTTAATGAGGCAAGATGATTCAAATGAAGGTGCTATGCTGGCTGCTCAAAAGGGAGTGAATATGCAGGGAAGTAATAGAAAATATGCTGGAGATAAGAGAGGAAAAGAGAAGGCTGGTGGTCAGTGGGGAAGGCAGAGTGGAGGAAGAAATTATCCACCATGTTCCCACTGCAAAAAGAAGGGACATTTTGACATTAAGTGCTGGTTCAGGCCTGGGATTCAATGCAGGGGATGCAAGCAGTTCGGCCACATTGAAAAAGTGTGCAGGAACAAGGCTGCACAGCCATCACAGCAAGCACAAAGTGCAGATGACCAGCAGCAGACCAGTGAACCATAACAGTTGTTTGTAGCTTCATGCTACTCAATGCAGACCAATAGAGATGTTTGGCTGATAGACAACGGATGTACTAACCACATGGCAGCAAATGTGGAGAATTTTCTTAGACTAGACTGGACAGGACTTATAGCTCCAAGGTTAAGGTTGGAAATGGGGACTATGTGGAAGCAAGAGGAATTGGAGATGTAGCAGTCCAAACTCAGGCAGGGACTAAGGTTATTTCTAATGTTCTATTTGTACCTGAAATTGCACAAAATTTGCTAAGTGTAGGTCAAATGTTAGAGAAAAATTATACCTTGCATTTCCAAAACCATTCTTGCATTATAAAGGATAGTGAGGGAAATGAGTTGTTGAGTGTAAGGATGCTTGGTAAAAGCTTTCCTCTAGACTTGAAAAAACCAGAAAACTCAGCATTAATCACCAAGGTTGAAGAGTCTGAGTTATGGCATAGAAGACTTGGACATTTTCATTACCTTGGAATTAAAGAGCTCAAGTCAAGGGACATGGTATTAGACCTGCCCGAGATAGAAGAGAAAAGGACTTTGTGCATAGCCTGCCAGCTTGGCAAACTCAGCAGGCCATAATTCCCTTTGGATCAAGCCTGGAGAGCAAGCCACAAGCTGCAATTGATCCACTCGGATGTGTGTGGTCCAATGAAGACAAAATCTTTAAATGGCAGCAGGTACTTTGTACTCTTCATTGATGATTTCTCAAGGGTGGCTTGGGTTTATTTCTTGAAGCAGAAAAATGAAGTGGCTGCTGTGTTCAAACAATTTAAGTTGCTGGTGGAGAATGAAGCTGGAACCTTGATCAAAGCAGTAAGGACAGACAATGGAACAGAGTACACTTCTAATGAGTTCAAGAGAGTCTGCAGCCTAGCTGGAATACAGCAGCAGTTCACAGCACCATACACCCCTCAACAGAATGGTGTTTGTGAAAGAAGAAACTGAACCATTATGGAAATGGCCAGGTGTATGATGGCTGGAAAAAACCTCCCTAAAGTGTTCTGGGCAGAAGCTATTAATACAGCAGTTTTCCTGCTGAATAGGCTGCCCACCAGGGCAGTCAAACATCAAACACCAATTGAGGCATGGAGTGGAGTCAAGCCAGCAGTAGGGAACCTGAAAGAATTTGGAAGCATAGCCTATGTGATGATCCCAGCCAGCAAAAGGTCCAAGTTGGATGACAAGGCAGAAATTGGGATATTTATAAGCTACAGCAGCAACTCTAAAGCTTATAGAGTTTATGTTCCTGAGTCCAAAAGGATTGTAATCACAAGGGACATAAAGGTTGATGAATGTGGAGTCTGGAATTGGGAGGAAAAAAGGGTTGATGTGCAGGCTGAATCAAGTCATAATGAGAGAAGTGAGGGACTGATTCAAGAGGCAGATTCAGATGAGGAAGAAGAACATGCTGTTAGAGGAACTAGAACTCTAGCTGATGTGTATGACAGGTGCAATATGGCAGTGGTGGAACCAAGATGCTACCTGGATGCTGCAAAATCTGAATTGTGGAGGGCTGCAATGCAGGAAGAACTGAGTATGATTGATAAAAATCAAACCTGGAAATTGGTACCAAGACTTGAAAAAAGGAAAGTCATTTAGGTGAAATGGATTTTCAAACTGAAAATCAACCCTGATGGCTCAATCTACAAGCACAAAGCAAGGCTGGTGGTAAAGGGTTTTGCACAGCAACCAGGTATTGATTTTTCAGAAACCTTTGCCCCAGTTGCTAGGCAAGACACAATCAGGCTGCTGTTGGCACTTGCAGCTCAGTTTAACTGGAAAATTTTCCAGCTAGATGTCAAATCAGCATTCCTGAATGGATGGATTTCAGAGGAGCTGTATGTAGAGCAACCCGAAGGCTACAAGGTTGAGGGAAAGGAGGACTATGTGTACCTACTAAGGAAGGCCTTGTATGGCTTGAAGCAGGCCCCTAGAGCCTGGTAGTACAGCCGAATAAATGACCATTTGTGCAGCCTTGGATACACTAGAAGTCCTAATGAACACACTCTCTACATTAGGAAAACTGAGAAAGGAGTGGCTATGGTTTCCCTATATGTTGATGACTTGTTGGTAACAGGGAGTAATCCTGATGAATTGGACCAGTTCAAGTTGGATATGCAAGCTGAATTTGAAATGACAGATTTGGGATTGATGAAGTACTTTCTTGACATGGAGATAACTCAGGCTGCTGGTGAGATTTTTGTGTGTCAACAAAGGTATGCAACCGAGCTTCTCTTAAGGTTTGGAATGGAGAATTGCAAACCAGTGAATACTCCTCTGGTTCCCAACCTAAAATTAAGCAAAACAGATGGTGCAGAGAGCGTTGATGAAGGGAAATACAGAAGCTTAGTAGGAAGTCTGCTGTATTATACAGCCACCAGACCTGACCTTATGTTCACAGCAAGTTATCTCTCAAGGTTCATGAGCAACCCAAGTGAATTGCACCTTAAGGCTGCAAAATGTGTGTTGAGATATGTAAAGGGAACCATCATGTTAGGCATCTGTTTTAGGAAGGCTAAAAGTCTGAAATTGTTGGGGTACACTGACAGTGATTGGGCTGGATCCTTGGATGATGCAAGAAGCACCTCTAGTTATGTGTTTTATCTGAATAAGGGTGCAATCAGTTGGCTATCAAGGAAGCAAGAGACTGTGGCACAGTTTACTACTGAAGCTGAATATGTCTCTGCCACAGCATTAGTGAACTAGGCTGTGTGGCTGAGAAAAATGTTGGATGACTTGCACCAAGTGCAGGGTGGTCCTACGCTGATCCTATATGATAACCAGTCAGCTGTGGCAATGGCAAAGAATCCTGTACTCCACGACAGAACTAAGCATATTAAGATCAAGTATCATGCTGTTAGGGAAGCTGAACAGAGTGGGGAAGTAACCTTATTGCACTTTAGATGGGAAGATCAGTTTGCTGACATAATGATAAAGGTATTTTGCAAATCCAAGTTTGAAGCCTTTAGGCTAAAACTTGGTGTTTCCAGCCAAAGCACCAAGGTGGAGTGTTGAAGATTGGTGCTGTGCTGGAAGTAAGATTTGCTATAAGTTGAAGTTGTTTTGCTGCTGTGGATGGACGTGCATGGTGCTGTTCTGAAGTTCAGTAGCTTAAATCCTTCTGTATATTTTAGTGTTAATTTTGAATTAGTTGACTTAGCTTATTTTGTAATGAAGTTGTTTGAAGTTGTTAGAAGTGAGTGGTCTAGCTGAGATTAAGTGAAAGTTCTGACAGTAGTTGGAACATTGAACAACAGCATGTTATATTCAGTTTTCTGTCTAATGAAAAGTAGTCCAGTTTTTATTCATTCTCTCTCTTTTCTTTGGACAACCGGCATTTACAAAAACACTAACAGTTATGATGCTGAAGTTTTGGCTCCAAGTTCTCCTTCTTTATCTCTCTTGTGAGTCTGTGAATTGATTAATGTGAGTGGCATATATTTTGATATAGTCTTAGTTAGAGGTGTTCATAACCGGTTAACCGAACCGATTTTTCAGTTCAAGAATTTTCTTGAACTGAAACCGAACCGGTTAAAAGGAAAACCGATTAGTAAAAGCCGATTAACCGATTTTGAACTGTTTTTCCCTTTTACTTATTTTTTATTTTGTTTAATTTTTTTTTCAACTTCTATATGAATATGTTCCCCACCTTACTTGGTCTGAATCTCACACTAAATTCTAAAATTTGTGTTTGTGTGTAAAAGTAAATAGGAGAAATGCATAAAGGGTGAAAAGTAAAGAGAAATAGATTTGGGGATTTAAGGTTTTTTAAGTTTAAAGTGAAAACCAGTTTACAAAATTGGTTCTAGTTAACTGATTTTATAAATTCTTTAAACTAGTAACCAAACCAAGAAATTCAGTTTATGCATTTGAGTTTCTTGGTTATAAACAGAGATGGGCACAGGGCAAGGCGGGGCCAGGGATCCCATTCCCTGTCCCGTCCTGTCCACCCTGGATTACAAGGATTTTGCAAGGAAAAATCACCAATGGGATAAGGAAAACGCCCATCTCTATTTATAACCAACAAAACTCAAATTAAATACAAAATTACTCTGTTTTTATGCAAACTTGTCGTTTGAAAAATGTTTGACAATTTTTTTAAACTAATAATGATTCATGTGGCTTAAAATGTGCTCAACGGCGGTTGTTAAATTTCTAAATTACCCAATTCAATAATTAAATTCAAAAATAAACTACATAAATTTTGTTTGTTAATAGATTAAGTTAACAAGTTGCGGAGGTGAATTGGTCTTTTCTATCCCATGAACTGGTCTTTTCTCTCCCATGAATTGGTCTCTTTTGTCTTCAAAAATATAAAAAAATCTTTATTCAAGTGAAAATCCATATGTATGGATTCATTTTTCCACTTGGCTTGGTGAATCCAAGCGAAGTTGAATGAACCGCACGAAGCAGCATAAGTTTCCCTTCTCTTTCAATTTACTTCACTTCTTTCTTTCTCTTCTTTTCTTCTTTTATCTTCTTTCTTCTTCTTAATGTTTTTAGATTTATGTTTTTTGTATTTTTTGTATATTATGTTTATGTGTTTAAATAAGTAAAAAAAAAAAATTGCATATTTAAGGGGGAAAAAAAAAACTTACTTTCTACCATAAAAGGACTAATTTCCAAAAAAATTGCAAAAACTCTAGTCACTCTTAGACCAATCACTTTCAGTTTATCAGGTGAGGTATAATGATATTTATCTCGCTCGAGTAGAATTTTTTATATTTCATATAGATGATATTGATATTTTAGATAATAGATTTTATGTAAAAGTTAAATTCTTGTTTGTTTCTTGACTTGCAGAGGATATATATCTAGCTTTCTTGACTTGCAGGGAATACTTATGTGGCTTCCTTGAAGGTATCAGCATAAAAAACAGCATCAAATTTGGAAGATGGAGGATGTGCTACTGATTCCTTGAAAAAATTAAACGTTTTGTAGATATATACCATATGGGGTGGTGGCATTCAGGAAGCCTTCAGTTACTTTATTTGA